GACAAGAATATGATGATATCACTCCTGTGGATCTCCTCGTTTTTTTGTTCCTCGTTGTGGAGCCTCGTTTTCTGTAAAAAGGGTCTCCGGTTCTCTACACCCACCATACAAAATATGCTGGTATTCTGTAAGAGTATGCTCATTCCCCGGTCGAGCCGATCCATTCGTGTTACACCTTTATACCTGCAACATGGCTCAGGGCAAGAAACTCAGCAGCTCGAAGCGGGGTGTTACCACGATCTCACAGAATACCAGCGTGAAGTAGAAGTTTACCTCTGCGTTGCGTTTGGTGAGTGCAGGTGGCCGGAGGCCCAATCCCCCCTCCCCCATCAACATGGTAGTGGAATTAAATAAAAGGCTACCCCAGGAGGGTACCAGCACCCCTGGAGAATCCATCGCTGAGCATCCACGACCAAACTACTTCACTCCTGAGCGTGGGTGCTCAGGCTGCCCCGCGTATTCTGGGGAGGGGGGGGGGGGCAAAATTCCGATCGCGACTAATGCTTGCTACAACCAAGGCGACCCCTGTGACGCTATCCGTGAATTTTTGCAACATCAGGGGACTTCATTCCAACCTTAACGCTGTCCATTACCATCTAGAGACGGCGAAGCCGGCCTTGCTCTTTTTAACCGAGACTCAGGTGTCCTCTCCGGCTGATACTTCATATCTCTCCTACCCGGGGTACAAATTGGAACACTCCTCTGTGCCCCGGGCTGGAGTTTGCGTATACGTCAGAGAGGACATCTGTTTTCGACGCCTCGGCAGTCTTGAAGGTACGGACCTGTCCATCCTATGGCTGCGCGAAGACAGCGACGACCATCCCCGCGTCTACGGGTGCCTCTATAGGTCCCATAGCGGTAATGCCGACACAGACCAACTCATCGACCACGTCCAAATGACTGCAGACTCCGTCCTACAACAGGTCCCATCCGCAGAGATCGTGATACTCGGTGATTTTAACGCCCACCACGCTGAATGGCTTGGTTCTCGTTTAATCGATCATGCGGGTAGATCTGTCTATGACTTTGCTTTGGCATATGGTCTAACACAACTGGTTACTTCGCCTACACGGATCCCAGATGTGGAAGACCATGTACCTTCCCTGTTGGACCTTCTCTCCCTGCTGACCTCTCATCCGGACGGATATCAGGTCTCCGTCGATGCCCCTCTGGACTCTTCGGACCATTGTTTGATCCGGAGTACGGTGCCACTCACGTTCCAATCGCAGTTGCGATCTGCAGCTTGCCGCCGTGTTTGGCTCCATAGGTCAGCTGATTGGGACGGAATACAGTCTTTTTTTGCATCCTACCCTTGGGGGTGGGTTTATTTCTCGCCGAAAGATCCCAGCGTTGTTGCCTATTCTGTTGCTGATGTGGTACTTCAGGGTATGTAACTTTTTATTCCATCCTCTGTGGTGCCAATCGGAGGCAGATCCCAGCCATGGTTTGGTCGCTCCTGTAAAATGGCATCACGCTATAAGCAGGAGTGCCCGGTGCCTGGGCTGACGCATCAACGTCTCGGGGTGTAAACACCAGCACACTTAAAAAGAAGTATAATCCCGCCTCCAGGTTCTTAAAAAGCGTCATTGCCAAGGCAAGGTCTGAGCACATCGGCAGAATTGGCGAGAAGCTAGTTCGCCCCCTTTTCGGGAACCCGTGCATTCTGGTCTCTCGCCAAGGCTGTTCACGGGAGCTTCTGTCAGCCATCTCTTCCATCTCTGCACAGAGAGGACAACTCACTGGCCCATGCCGCAAAGGAGAAAGCCGATCTGTTGAGCTCTCTTTTTGCGTCCAACTCGACACTAGATGACGGAGGGAACACACCGCCGACCATCCCGCGATGTATGTGCTCCATGCCGGATGTGCGGTTTACACAGCGCTCAGTTCGCAAAGCACTCTTCTCCCTGGACGTCAGCAAGTCGAGTGGGCCCTATGGAGTCCCTCCCATTGTGCAGAAGACGTGTGCTCCGGAGTTGGCACCGGTTTTAACGCATCTTTTCCGGTACTCCTACTCCCAAGGCGTAGTCCCGAATTCATGAAAGACAGCTTTGGTCCACCCGATCCCTAAAAAAGGCGACCGCTCAGACCCGTCCAACTACAGGCCTATTGCCATCACCTCCTTGTTCTCCAAAATAATGGAATCCATTATAAACTGCCAGCTCATGAGGTACCTTGAGGATCACCAGCTGATTAGTGACCGCCAGTACGGTTTTCGCCGACGTCGATCAGCTGGTGATCTTCTAGTCTATCTGACTCATAGATGGGCGGAGGCAATAGAGTCCAAGGGGGAGGCATTCGCCGTTAGTTTAGACATAGCGAAGGCCTTCGATCGGGTCTGGTACAAAGCGCTTCTTTCGAAGCTTCCTACCTATGGGCTTCCCGAGAAATTGTGCAAATGGACCAGTTTCCTTGCTGATCGGAGCATCAAGGTCGTAGTAGACGGTGCATGCTCTGATTTCAAGCCTATCAACGCTGGTGTTTCACAAGGCTGCGTGCTATTACCAACGCTGTTTCTCCTGCATATCAATGATATGTTGCTAACTGGTAGCATTCATTGCTATGCAGACGACAGCACAGGTGATGCCTTATATACCAGCCGTGCCAATATTTCTCGGGAAAACGTCGCTAAATACAAACTTGTGTCTGAAGTCGAGTCTTTGCTTAACAAAGTCTCGGATTGGGGCCGACTAAATCTAGTCCAGTTCAATCCCCAGAAGACATAAGTTTGCGAGTTTACCTCTAAAAAGAACCCCTTTGTCGTATCTTCTCAGTTTCAAGGCACTCCCCTTGCTGCCTTAGCTAGTATCAGAATCCTTGGCGTCGACATATCGAATAGTGTGCAGTTTCGTGGTCACTTGGAAGGGAAGGCCAAATTGGCCTCTAAAAAGCTTGGCGTGCTCAGCAGAGCGAGACAGTGTTTTATGCCGGCACATCGCTTGCAACTTTACAAAGCGCAAGTTCGGCCCCACATTGAATACTGTTCTTATCTCTTGGCCGGGGCACCCCAGTGGCAGCTCCTTCCACTTGACCGCATCCAGCGCAGAGCGATTCGAATCATCGACGACCGAGTTCTTTCTGATCGGCTCGATACACTGGCACTGCGTAGAGATGTTGCATCTCTTTGTGTATTTTATCGTATCTATCACGGGGAGTGCTCTGAGGAATTGTTCGGACTAATTCCAGCCGCTCAATTTCACCATCGCACATCGCGACAAAACTCGCGTTACCATCCATACCATCTGGATGAGTGGCGTTCCACCACTGTGTGATTTAGAAGAAGTTTTCTCCCTCGCACAACTTCCTTGTGGAATCAATTACCACCAGCGAATTTTCCGGATCGATACGACTTAGGAACCTTCAAGAAAAGAGCTTACAACTTTCTAAAAGGCCGGCAACGCATCTGCAATTCCCCTGGTGTTGCGGTTGTTCATGGGCGGCGGTAGTCACTTACCATCAGGTGAGCCGCATGCTCGTTTGCCCCCTCTTCTATAAAAAAAACCACGTTTACAGTATTCTCGGTAGAAGAGGAATCCTATGACTATCTGCTTTGATTCTTTGTTTTAATTTAGTTGTAGGTGTCTGTGGGCTGCAACAACTTCCGGCAAAAATACCGTAAGGTGCACTGTATATTTGCTTGTCATACCTACGGATATAAAAAAAAACTAAAAGAGTAACACACATTATTGTGTCTATACACACATAATTATACGCTTCACGTATTATCTCACAGACTAACTGTTTGTTTCTGCGATGTTGTCATTTAGAACTGAACTTGAAGTACATACTATAAACTATTGAACTGTCAAGGTTCTTTTGGTGAGATACGGATATATTTGATGCCTCACGACGGAACAGAAATATGACTGACATAAATAAATGAAAAATGATCTTAGAAACACTTTTTGGTATGAAAACGAGGCGTTTGTTTTTCGTGAATATAGAGACATTTTATTTTCTGACAGTCCCATAGTACCCAACAAAAACAATATACAAATAAAAACGAAATAATCTTAAAAGTTAAACAACTCATATGCCTTACCTCGAGACCGCAAATATAAAGTTGAATACTCCCACGTCTCATAAATATTCAACTCATATTTACGCCTTAACATTTGTCTTCTACTATTATTTTGGTGCATTCCAAAACACATTGTGTTTCTATAAAAATTGAGTACATAATGGACGGTTTTATCGGATTCCTATGGGTAATGAAAAATAAGAAAAATCTCAATTGAATTGACTTAAAATATAATTAGAGATTATTTACTGTAATATAAATAAACTCATCTAGCATCAGTTCCAGGACCTAGACTTTGAATCCGCCTTTCGTATGTTATCGTAAGCCACTTATAATAAAACCATTTTAACTTAGAGAGGAAACACTAGAGATTATTTCTTGTGAATCTTTTTAAATCATTTGACACTCAATTCCTATGATTAGTACGTCAACGCAATAAAGTATTTGTAATTGAGATAGCTGCCTTCATAATATAATAAAATCCAACTGCCTTCTAACTACTTAGAGTACAGCAAGCTCCGACATTTATACTCGATTTAAAATCAAAATGTATGTATTTTATCAACCCTGAAGACTATGATCGAACGCCTCGGTACTAGTGAATATAGTTGCCGGTATTCGTCCTTCCAGCATTTATTATTGTTACTATTTAATAATCTACGTCGCACAATTATTGTTTTATAAGTAACAAATCCAAAAAAAAAATTATAAAGGGTAAACCTTTATAATTTTAGTATTATAAACTAACGACGTTATCGGTGGTAATGTTTTAATACATTGTCAGTTACATTACATTGCTTCACATTAAAATTAAATACAAGTTTAAATTAGTTTGTTTCTATCCTTACTTTTTCTTTAATTCAGTTTACTTAACAGTGAAATTTGTGATCATTGTAGGAACGAAGTGCAAATTTAGTTTTTGTAGGTATAGATAATTTAGTTTTTCTGTTAGCCGCTTATATTTAAGGCCCGTTGTCCGTAGGCGGTTTATCTGACGGGGAGTCAGGTCGGGTGCAGAGGTCCCGTATATCCCGCCGGGAAGACCCTCGCCGCCATACGCTTGCTGGTAATCATCTTTACCTGCAACCGCATGTTGCCAACACTTTGGAACTTGAGGTAAATAGATATTATAAAACAATGATTTTCTTACTAATATTTCTTTTAATTTTTAGCTATATTGGGAGACCACTGCTTGGTACACTGCAACACGATGCCTAATCTGAGACAGGTAATAAAATAATTCTAAATTGGATGTTTGACGTTGTTAATTAGAATTATCTAATCAATTATTCTTCCTTATCCTATATATTATATCCTAGCATATTATCAGCTATCACAAAGGAGATATTGCAGTGGTAAAAGTGCAAGCAAAAGCTTAGGTACTTGCTCATTACTAACTTAGCAGTGCCATATATAGTACTTTTGCAATAAGATCGGTGATAGTCTAGAATATAAAACGAAGAGAGTGTTATGGGGAAGTGACTGAAGTAGTCCTTCGCGCTGCTCCAGTATATATTAGTAGACTTTCATGTAAATTCTCACATCATCCACGACATATTACAGGCATATTTTCCTTCAACGCCGACCACATGTAAATAAAACATAAAACACTGATATGGCAATAGACGTCAATACTCAGCGCTTAAAATTGCAACAAGATAAATAATTTATGTCTGCGGTGTAAGGCATATGCTAGAATGAGCACAACACAATATTCGCTCTGCTTTGAGAATTCGAAATCAGGTTAAAATTCTAAGAAATGGTTATTAGCAATTGTTATTTCAAGTTAAAATTTCAGGGTGACAATTATTAAAAATTAAAAAAAAAAACACATTCATACAATTCAAATAAAGCGACTTTGGTTGATAACTATAAAAGTAATTTAGAAGGAGTCACAAGTTATCTTGTAAGTTTATGATTGCTTTTTAAACCGTTAAAAATAAATGAAATGTAAAGGTTCCTTATTAAACTTCAAAACTCTGTTTATGTATAAGTACTTAATGAAAGAAACCTAGCGTGGTTTATTGTACACCTTTCTTCTAAATTCATCTGTTTATTTTCAACTTAATGTAAGATGTCATGAAACATTAGCTTTGCTTAAAGCAAAGCTATTGTTTCTAAATTGAGTCAGATGAAAATATCGGCAGTGAAGCGAAGAAAAAAGAGTCCGTCATCATCATCGTTACAACCTATCAGTAGTTCTATGGTGAACATAGGCTTCCCCTTTAAATTGCCTCATAGATAGAACATTTGCATTAGTTCTACGATTAACAAGCGGTTGACAACTGGTTTAAGAAATTAGAATAGAATAGAATAGAATATTACATAATTTTTTTTATTCAATATTGATTACAAGTAATTCTTATTGAAAGTCATTTGTTATTTTTACCACTGGTTCGTAAAAAATCCGCAGTCCTGTGAAGAACCAGCAAGAAACCCAGCGGGACTTTTTTTTAAGTAAAGAAATTGTTTTCAATAGAGAAATCTCTGTAAATTTTTTACGACACTTACAGAATTATATTGGGTATTTGATTCTTTTACGTCCCTAATATGCGGCCAGTGTCCGCACCATCAAATACATTTTATTAGAATGTCGATAAAAATTTATCGCGCTTATCGAATTTTCAATTCTCATAGTTTTGTCCCAAACATATTTCTAACTGTTCATATAAATTTGTTATACTATAATCTATCTCGTCGGGGATAAGCTGGAAGACAACAAGGTGACCATAAGTGTCCCGTTTGGTTGATAACTGCACAGAACATTATGTATAAATAATTTTAATGCCTATCTACGTTGCTATAGTTATCTTTGTCTCTAATTCAGTTTGGTCTAGCAATGAGTAGCAACAGGGTTTCCATTTACTAAGACCTCAAAGGCTCAAATTATGTTACACAAAATTAGTTCTGTGCTAATAATAACCTTCTTAACACAGATCTACGCTTAGCTGATATCTGTGAACTTAGGATTATGAATGTTCCTCGAGAAAAGCTCTGTATAATCACTATTTAGTTTCCATTCGGTATCCGAAAATATTTTGTTTAAATCCTCTTATATTACTAATCGGTTTGAATAATAAAAAAAATCATTGTTTTTTTTTCCTTTTAATAAGAGCGCAAACATGAAACAAAATGTATACAAGACAAACAATTTTGCAAAGAAAATTATATTCTATTTATAACCTTACCTAAAAAGCCGTTGATATTTGCGAATAAAAACAAAACGTAATGGGAAAAAGCTCCGAAAACACTTTTAATGTGCTTTTAACTCAATCATTCCATTCACAATCATAATTATTGTTGGCAACTGAATAAAATCTTCTAAATGGCTTATGCCCAATTTACTGTAATACGTACCTATATACTATATGTATAAACGACATCTTTGAATTTTTTCAAAAGAAAACATCAGTCATTGTTTACGGCACTGAAAATTTCGGGAATCAAGGAAGTGACACAACATTACTATTTAAAAATGTATTTATTGCTTTTCGAAGTATTCTCCGCGAAATTTGACATATTTTTCCATACGATGGAAAATATAGAAATCATTAGGGCTTAGGTCGGGGCTGTACGGCGGATGGTCTAATAATTCTATGTTTTCTTGCTCTAAAAACTCTTTTGTTCTGTGTGCGGTGTGAGAACTCGCATTGTCGTGATGGAGGATGATGCGGCGGTTGTAGTTCTCTTTACGGAGTTCAGAAACGACCTGTGGCAAACAAATGCTAGCATACCATTCTGCATTAACCATTCTTTGTCCCTCAAGAGGAATAGTCGTAACATTGCCGGTTTTGGAGACAAACGTGGCCACCATTTTTTTTGCAACACTCCGTGAGCGAACAATTTTTGTTGGCTTTAACTCATTTTCTAACACCCAGACTCGTGACTGGTTTTTTGTTTCGGGTTCGTACGCGTATATCCAGGATTCGTCACCTGATACGATGTTGTATACAGCATTTGAGGATCCTGCGTGGAATCTTTCGAGAGTTCTGACGCACCAAGTAACGCGAGCCTCTTTTTGCTCTTCACAGAGCGAATGCGGTATCCATCGGGAAAACAACTTTTTTACACCTAATTGTTCATGCAAGATTCTTTGTATTTGACTCATGCCAATGTCTAAAGTTGCCTGAATTTCGCGGTGTGTACATGTCGATCTTCCTCAATCAGCTTACGCACAGCATCAACGTTTTCTTGGGTGACTGCAGTTTTTGGACGACCTTGACGGGGATCATCACTGAGCTTGACACGTCCACGTGGAAATTCAGCAAACCAGCGATAAATTGTGGTTTTGGATGGGGCTTCATCACCAAATGCAGAAATCATCCGGTCAACACATTGTTTTTGTGTTAAACCATCCCGAAAGTCATAATAAATCATCGCTCTTGAATTTTCTCGAGTCAACTCCATTTTCTCAACGACTAAACAAGTTTGACAAAACCTTGTGACAAGACCGAGAATCTTTTTTTAAATAAATAAATGGTATTCGATTTTTAAAACATTTGAGTTTTCAATTAAAAAGATTTTAATATGACAGGAACAGTGGAAATATTCCATTCCCGATACTTTTAGTGCAGCCTATGTATTAATGTTTTATATTATTATTATTTTTGCCTGTAGGATTTAGAATTTAGTTGTCGTGCCTTTCTGCGTAAAATAATACTGGAATCGGTAAAACGTAGCAAATTTTCCTAAAAAGAAAATTAATACTTAGATTTAGCCAAAGCAATGGCGCTTTAGAAATTGTAGATATAAAATATAAAATCATAAATTTTTATTAATGTTTTCTCTTTCTTAAGTTCTGGATACTGATATATTAGAAATGAACTTTAGATATTCCATATTAGACTCCAATGAGCTACTCGTATGTATTGTCCATTGAATAATGTCTATATTTAGCTTCCACTATCAATTGAATAGTCAACAATAAACTCTAAATTGATATAGTTTGCTTCATACAATACGTCAGAGTTATGGACCGATAAACGACACAAAATGGTAAACAAAAATAACCTAAGTTTAAACGGACATTATCCTATATTGCGATGTTCGAAAACGCACTTTCCTAAGTTATTGAATACCTCGGAAAGCAGGCATTAATGAAGAAATAGAATAAAGACAGAATTAATGCTCGGTTCGAAAAAAGTTCCTTTCATGGTATATTATTTTCGTCTATTAAAATGATTAAAATTCAGCGTCATTTAAAATAAAATAATATTTCTTTCGTGCAAAGAAAAGAAAGAGGGTGACGGAGTTGGATATTATTCCACCTCGCTTCCTTATAGCCGCCAAGGCCGTCTATACTACGTCAGAAGGATTCGTGACGGATAAATCTTACACCTTTCTCGCCTAGCCTCCATGCGCCGAATTCGTACCGTCCGATAAGGAACTTCGTTACAAAAATATTTTTTGTTTTATTATACTACTATTAATTATTTTTTGTAGAACACAGTTGTTGCCCAGTTTCGTATTTGTTGCTTTTCATAATTTTTACGAACATTTATGTAGTTAATAAAGTAAAACATGCAGTGCAAAATTATCAATTTCTACATTTATATCATTTTCTGCCGTAAACACTTATTGAACCAATGGAAAGAAAACCACGAAAACAATACGAAATTTGTAACTTAAGAAATGCCTAATTATTTCAAGATTTATTGAGACGGCATATAATAGGATTCCATTAAGCTTCTACATTCTCATGCCTACTTAATGTTTTTACCTATTGATTTTATTACTTATTTGTTTTTGTTTCTTTCATATTGACTTTTTTCTTTTTTTTTGTTCTTATCCTATCTTTCCTGATCTTCAGCGTTATGATCCCGGGGAAACAGCAACAAATATGCCCGAGTACGCCACTGTCACCAAGTATCGCGACTCGAGACAGAAAATTTTAGAACCGCGAATGAGAAAGGTACCCAGTATAATAAATCTTTCGGTTGTGTGCGGCTTGTATAACTTAGCACCCTCAGCTTTGCTGGTTCACTAAATTTTAAACCACTTTGATACTAACATAATGAGGCAAAGTTTGGAAGTCGACAAAACGGATTTGTGCGTGAAAGTTTTAAGAATGTATCGTACAAAAATTTTACCAATTTTCGTCCAGTCCATAAACATTAATACTCTAGCAAATTGAAAATCGACATTAACCATCAGTTAGCCGCATGCTCATTTGCCCTCTCTTCTATTAAAAAAAATAAAAAACAGAGATTCCCTTGTTTTTAGGAATTAAAAGTATGTTAGGAACTAAAAATGGACGGATAAACTCCGTCACAAAGCAAACTACTCTTCTACGTATTATTAAAATAAATACATTATTTGCTTGAATGTGTCAAGAAGTTGAAGTGCTAAAGAATACTATAATATAATTTGCTGACATTAGAAGATGTTTAATTAAAAAATAATATATTAAAATTTATTTTAAAAGTTGAATAATGTTTTTGGACTCACGAAAATGTGTCTTTATTTGGGGTTAGAACTTTATCCCTTAATAAAGATTTTACTTCGATATTAGAATAGTTTTGTCGACAGACCGAAAATTATTGCTGATTTTTCAAAGCTTTAATACAAAGGATTTTTCCTATACTATTTGTTTTGATATTATTCTAATTGAACAATGTTCTAAAATGTATATGAACAAGAAATATTTATCTATGTATCTCTTACTTATTCCATTTCATATATATTCAATTATATCATATGTATCGCTAAACAGATGTATATATATATATATATATATATATATATATATGACTTGCATACGGAATGCAATGAAGAAAAATATATCATAACTAAAATATATTAAATTATAATTATTATTTTTATTATTATTAATGAACTTCGCGTCATACAATAAAATAAACTTGATTTAATGAATAGTTACTAAACAAATTATTAATAGATAGTTGCTAATGGGCCCTCTCTCTTGTAATGTCTAGTTTTATACTATACCTAGAACTAGAAGTTGAACTAGAGTTCCAATATGGTTATAGTGTATAGGTAATATACTCGTAATAAAGTTAGCGGTATTAAAATGTATGGTATACGCTTTACAAAGGAGAAATCGAATTTCATTTTGGGAGTGCAGGTGCGGGATTTTTTATTGTCTTTTATTGGATTTTTATACCATAGTGGCGCGAGTGCATGCACTAATTCGATTCATGATTTTTATTTTTCTGCATTGTCTGCTGTTTTTTTTAAATCCCTTTGTTGTAGTTAATGTCGCAAGGTAGTCTCAAAAACCTTTTCTGATCTAGGATTGAATTTGTTATTCAACAAGATTATTTTCATCTATTATAAATGTATATGGCATTTAAATGCTGCAAAATATTTAGTATTAACATTTTTTGTATTTATGTTGCAATTTTTTTATTATATCAATGAATGTTTCACTGGTTCTAAGACAAGCAAATAAAAAAAAATAATATACCTGTTGTTCTGGTTAATAAAACATCTGATATACTAATATTTTTATTTTTGAAGTGTATTAAAAATCTTGTATCTAAATCTCTTAAAGTATCAAATGAAAGTGTTATCAAACTGCAAATAAATTTAAGACCGGTATTGGAACTGCAATTCAGCATGAATCCGTCTGTAAAGTTTCAGGATTTTGGATTTGTCACCGGACGTAACTGACTTTAGCTGCATCCCGCCAGTATTTAGAAGCCAATTCTGTTATCTACTTTCCATCAGTATCCATAGCGATTTATTAAAAAAATTGTAAAGGAATTTCGGAAAAGTTACTTAATACAATATGAATATAAACTGCTCCTAAAATTTTTAATGGTATTAATTACCCCACTTATAGGAGCAACATATTTCTTTGAATAAAAAAAGCTGATGTTTATAATGTTTTTTTTTAAAAATCATTAATTAATCGCACTTTAAAATTGCAAGTAATTTTAATATCAAATAATTATTATGAAAATGTAACATAACTTCATTGAAAATTCGTATCTATGTAAACCAATGAAATTGTTTTATTTGATGTAGCCAAAGCCTTCCTTCCGTTTATTATAATTAAATCACTCCTACCAAAGCGTTCAAAAACAATGATTAACTTGACGCTCTAACATACTCGTATTTGAACATAGTTTCATTCATGTTTAATCAGTACCAAATTTAACAAAATTAAATCAAGCATATACTTTTTAATATTCCTACAATTATACGCGTTTCATTTATAACTATATTCAAGTTGTCTTACTATTTACTCGTAAGGAACATGAGAAATATTTTATTAAAAACTTGAAGGACAGCTTGTAGAAAGTTCTTTAAATTTCAGCCACCACTTCCACGTTACCAATCGAGCAGCAATGCTCACCTCTTCGAAGATGACCCTGGTGTAATGTCTGAGGTTGAAACCGCTTCCACTGGATTTCGACGTGGCGGGAAACAAAGATCTTCATTACCCGTTGTTAGAACACCCAGCAAGACTTTGGAACGGCCTTTGGGTAAGAATTAAGAACAGACAATCCCTCTGAAAATCCGTAACTTAAGTAGTATATAATTAGAAATATTAATTTAGAAAAAGCGTTTCAAATTAATTTTACTACTTTATCTTTATTGGATAGTATTTTTATAAGCTATAGCTGTTTATGTACAAACTTCAAAAGTCATCTAGTAATATTAATTTGCTTAATCCAATCTTATTTCAATTGATTCCTTATGAAATCATAATAAAGTCTTACATTATGGGGATACCCCCCATGATAAAGACTTTACCTTAGTTGCCACGTTAGGCGAGCGTGTTAACAACCATTTTTTTTATTCTTACGAATTTGCTGCTATCGTAAAGATGCTGCAGTCCTGGAGAAAATGTTCTCGATAGGCGGCCTCATACCAGTAAACGAAGTGTACGCCGGCTTCACACTTGATGGAGTGACGACCTAGTGGGATGCAGGAAGTCGATGGATGCAGGTGGCTCAGGACCGTGCTTTGTGGCTTCCCTTGGAGGAGGCCTATGTTCAGCAGTGGACGTGTGACTAAATAGTAGTAGATAGATAAAAAATCTTATCGTAATGCAATTATTATCGCTGCAGAAATTAAGAAAGTCATATTAAAATGTAATATTATTAATATATATTATATAATTTTTAATCATTGTCAGGCTTAATTTGTATTAATTTGGAAGTTAAAGCATTCTAAATATGCAATAGATTAATCTTAGGCTGTCAACTGAGTCCTCGAGTCGATTATGACTATTGATTATATAATACCTCTCAGTGGCTAGTATTTGCAAATGATACTATAATCCTAGTAAACCGGGATCTATATTGAGGATTACTGTACCGGCTGACCTTCTAACGGAAACTCTAGGGTGCCGGATCAATATTTCATTAACGTACAATGGAATAGTCATCTTATTCTATGATGTATTTTGTTAATGTAAAAACAAGGACACTACTGATCATAGGTTTTCTTCAAGGGATTCCACAAAACATGTCCCTGAGCCACTCGAATCCATCGACTTCTTGAATATCTTACTACGACCACTCTATTAGCCGCTTACGAGCGCGAGGCTAACAGTCGGGAACCTTTCTTTCCCATCGGTTATCGGTTCTTCGAGCTGATCCGTGGGACTATTTTTACAACTGTTATTTTATTTGAGAATTAATAGCAATCACTTATCTCTAAATTCTTACACACGTAACATTCATATCAATTACAAACTATAAACAAAGCTTGCAGTTGAAAAAAATAAAATCTAAAAGTAAAAAGATTCTAAACTGCCGACAAACATAGGCCTCCACATAGATTGCCTCATAGAAACTATATTTGCCATAGTTGCCACGCTTCTCAAGCGGGTGGGCAATCGCAATTTTTTATTTTAAATCGTTATTAGGAAGACGCTGCTGACCATCTCCTGATTTGTTTCCCTCTATCGAATCTTAAGACACTATGATATGAGTTAGCAGATATTCTTACGCCACTTACGGTAACTTGTGCTCCGTGCTCTGAGTTTCAATGGCTCTTTAATAACAAGTACAACAATTTTACTCCACGGCTTAGTTATTATCATTATTGCGATCTTTTAGACGTATACTGCTGAAAATAAACTTTCAGTAAAGTACAAGCCTGGGCTATTCATCACCTCCATATATTATGTACTTCATACGTAACATTGTAGCACCTTTTTCTATATCCCTATAACGCTATAACCCTATATAGCCTATAACGGTTCACTTCTAGATATGGGTCTCTAATATCCCAGAAGGGTTTCCCTTAACTGCAATTCTTAATAGGCGGATTGGTGACCACAGTAGTCGTTTCGCACCTTTGATGCTGCCCCCGTCATTGACCTTGGTATAAACAATATTTTAACCTCCTACTCTCCTCCTCATAGGGGTCTTATTTTCCATAGTTCCCACGCTTGACATGTGGGTTGTAATCCGCAGTTTTTCTTGTTTTGCGCTGTTATCAGGAAGATGCTGCTGTCCATCTACTGTTATATTTCATATGTCGCCTCTTACGTCACATACGGGAAAGTAGTGGTGCTGGTAGTACACAGAACAGCTTACTGAAATAAAATGTTTCTTTTGTTTAGGACTAGTCTTCTTGCAGTACCGTAACGAAACTAAGCGCGCTCTTCTGCCGAATGAGATCACATCGATTGATACCGTTAAGGCATTGTTCGTTAGGAGCTTCCCCAAGCAGCTTACAATGACTTATATGGAGTCTCCTTCAGTGAAGATTTACATCCATGATTGCTCAAAGGATATGTTTTATGAGCTTGAAGATTGTCGGTGAGTGTATTTTTCATGCCTTTATATATATATATATATATATATATATATATATATATATATATATATATATATATATTGCCTCAAAATTATTAAGTTTTTTTTATAAAATAATTATAGCGCAAAGGAAAATTCTACTAATATGTACAGTTTAACTTTAAGTGGCATTAGGTCTATATTAAAGAAAAAATGTAACTAGCTTTTTCATTGACGAAGAGATTAAATACGATGGTTTCAATATGAATGAAACCCTTGTAAAATTTATGAAAAGCCAAGTTAATAATATTTCATTTCCTAAACTTATTCGGTAGTTCTTTTATACAATAATGTGGTTTTCCTCTTAATTTTACGACGCTCACAATGAAATCCTTTTTTAACAGTTTGGACCACATTTAATACAATGATTGGTTGTGTTAATCATATTTGATTTAACAATTTAATTTGCGATGTGCTTTATGTTGAAATATAGGTGGAGATCTAGGAAATACCTTCCAAATTACTCAATTGCCGGGCTTACTGTAGCGCTAGCTTGATGTTGGACTCCTTTGGCAGTATTAACTGTATTCAGAATTATTTATTACTCGTTGTATGTTCATTAAAATCAATTTACTAACAACATGCTAATGCAGCTCATAGTTACGTAAAATATTTAGTCGTCTTATTTTAAATGAATATATTATAATAAAATTATGAAGAGCTAGTTAAAATTGTGCTATGTAAATGTATTATGCTTCTATTCCAAAGTGGTCGAAAATTGAAGTGTAATTTAATTTTCGCAACTACATTTTATCAACGTCACTCAATGCACTTTGCATACTTATAAAAGGTATGTTTACAAATCAAAAAATATCTCAAAATTTATTTTTTAAAATTATTATTACCTTTATTTATTTAACATTGTTCCTGACATGAAAATCTATTTCATTGTTAAACATTGTTCTTGACAATAAGTTCCTAACTAGGACATAGTATACAATCTCTAAAGCGAAAGATTGCAAATATATTCATAATAAATGCAGCTATAAAAAATGGTGATAAATTTAAAAATCCAAAAACATAACAATTGTATTATTTATTATAATTCTAAATACGAAGGTTAATCGTTTTTTTACACATATCTATAGATTTTTTTTTAATATGTTTTTTTTAAAAAAAAACGTTACCCCCACACTAGGATTTTCTTCTGTATCGTGGAGGCAGTTTACAAACACAAATTTCACAAGGACAAACATCCAGACACGGAACAATCATTTGTAGGCCATACAAATACTTGTTCCGTGCGGGATTCGAACCCGCGCCCCCCAGCGCAGCAACTCATTGCTAAGCTACTGCGCCACGGAGCCGTCAATCTTTGCTAGAAATTTCTCCATAAAAAACAAAATAATCACGTCTAATTCATTTTACAAAGGATTACATATAATTATCATCCTAGAAATATCAATGTTTAGGATATTCAAAAGGGATTGTTATATTTCTCCACCCCGTGGGAAGGCGAACAGTCTGTACTTATTATCTTAGGGCTGCACCGGCGCGCTGGTTAACGCGCCCCCTGCAGGCTGCACGTACGTACCAGTATTACCCGCGGCCTTGGCATAATCGTACGATTCGCAACAGGATATCGCGATTATAGCTTTTTATTTTTAAACGTATATACCTTATTATCGATATGGTGGGCCCTAAAGAATTTCAACATGTACATGATTATCGCTGTCCGTAAGTTTTTTTTCATTATGTTACTCTTACAACTACTGCGATGACTTCAGGGAGTTTTTATTTATATGTGGTCTGTGATAAAAAGCTTTCACAATAAACTGTCTACAACTTTAATGGACATTATTGTTTGATAATATTTTCTTATTATTTACCTTTATAAAATTAAAATGTTCATTTTCAGAACAATATACATTTATGGAAGTAAAAAAACAGATTAAGGGCGATTTTTTTCATCTTTAATTTTATATTTTATGGATATATTATAATATACTCGTTTTGGTAATGTTTTATATATTTTTTCGTTTTGTGCCAATAATTTTACATGATTTTCTAATTTCATAGAGTCTGAGTGTATGTATCTTGCCTTTCGTTTCAAGGCCATCGTTTGCTCCTCGTTCCAAATACGCGAATAGTTTACGTAGCCTTATTGTTTCTGGGGATTGACATTGCATTGTAGACTAAAACAATTTACAGATATTTTTTTTAATTATATGTTAATATGCATTTAAAACATTTTTACTTTTTACTGTAACTTATATAATATAATTTGATTTAAGTACCGATATTGGTTAATAGGTTTTCCTTTAGATATTCTTTTAGAGTATTATGAATGTTAATTTATTAATTTTAATGGAAACTATTTTTACTTTATTCAACAGCGCTCTTTTTTGTTGGAAATTTTATGTGTTATTTACTTTTGAATGTTAGTACGTAGTTTCTTTTTTATTTATTATGACTATTTTTTTATTTTTAATAATACCCGTTCTTTAAAGTTATATTTAACGCTTTAATAGGTTTAACGTCATATAAGTACGTATATTTAACGAACTATTTGAATGCCGTTTAAATAGTATTTAACCAAATATTCTGGTTTGTTTCCTTTTGTCCTTTTGACACTCTTAAATTGCCACTACATGGTTACTTAATTAAACATATTATAATTACTTACATATTATTTCACAATCTAGCACCTCGAAAAGTCTTAAAGATTAAATAGCAATTTTTCGAAGATTAAATTATATATTTAAAAATCATTTGTTAAAATAAAAATAAAATTATTTCGTTCTTTGAAAAATACAACCGCCCTTCCCCCAGAATATTAGATTTTTATTAAATAGCCAACTTTTATTAATTATTCGGAAAACAATGTAACAAATAAGAGATATCCCGTTGATGTCTTTTTCTTCAACATTTGAGCCTGCACAGAACAAAGAAGCTAAAACCGCTAAAACGGCTTCCGCTTTATTCGATGTAATTATAACATAAGCATTAACTATAAACATATAGTTACATTCCACGATACAGGAGAAAATCCTAGTGTGGGCGTTGCGTTTCTTGAACTAAAAACTGAAAACTAAAAACTGAAATTACGTTGTTTTTCTGTGCAGCAGCCACCTTCATGACATTGGTGATCGTTCTATCCTCCGCCTGTTTGAATCCAACGATATTGGCGGGGGATCTTTTCCTGGAGCTGTTGGCGTGGGCTCTATGCCCCTACCACCTGGTACTGGTGCTTGCCCTCCGTCTGCAGCCTGGGAGGTATATGCCAAAATATTTTGCTTAAACTATTGGAACACTAATATTTAATAAGTATAAAATGTAAGACCCTGACAACAACATCTGAATCATCATCTATCTGATAACAACTCAATAAGAAAAAATTTAATCTTTTTTCCTACTGTGAAATTATGGAATGTGGATTATGGATGGACTGGAATGAAATGATCATATATATGGTTTAGAGTTTAGATATACAGTGTATCAACATGAATGTCTAAATCGGTCTGTGTGGCTGAGTGTACTAAGGATGAAGCATACTAAGAAGTTGATAAAGAATTTTTCTTTTTGATTACTTAACCCTATTCATAAATTACCACACATTTTACTAATTAATTTTTTTTTTGTTAATGTAACTGTTAAATCAATTTTTATTACAGTTATAAGATAATATTTTTTATTCATGTTGTAATAATTATTTAACATGTTCTAAATTGGCAAGTATGTCCATTAATTTACAATTTATTTTTTATATATTTTTTATTTCAATTTCAATCTAATTTATTTTAATAAAACCATACATTATTAGGCTCATATATTATATCAAGTTATTTACATATTGTAAGTGAAAATGATGGCTCTTAATATTTATAAATAAGGGAATGTTGAAATACAATAAATAATATTAATTAACTAGCGATCCACCCCGGGTTTGCACGGGTAACTTCTGGAACTCGACAACAGCGCCACCTACCGAGTCCAACTGAGTTTTTAAACCATCCAGGGATCCACTCGAATGCACACAAAAAATTCATCTAAATCATTCGAGCCGTTTTCGAGTTTTAGCGATACTAACAAACAGCAATTAATTTTATACATAAAGATAGAGATAAACATTAATGAAACACTGTATATTGTGTCCTAATAACTTTAGAAGTCCCCTTTCTTTTCTGATTCGAAGATTTGAATAAAATAAAATATATAATATGACATTTTTATTCTTTAAGAAATGTGAAGAGTTATCGTTGTATGTAAATAACTAAGAAATCTTAAATTAATCTCGTACAAATGTATACGACCATACTTATAATCGTTTATTTTTGCTTACCTTAAGTCACTAAATGATTATAATCCGAATGGAAATAATTCAATTTTCATTTGAATTATCATCATTTAGTGACAAGAGAAAATCTTTTAGCATTTTTTTAGTTGGGACCGATTTGTATTTTATATTAATAACACAAGTGTTATTTTTAATTGGTTTACATTGTATTTTACTTTCTGAACTTTTTTTGATGTTTAAAAATACGGCACTTAGTAGCTCATACCAAATATTTAGTATTAAATACTACTAAATTAAGTAAAAATACAAAAAAAAATTAAAATTGATGTTGCTATTATTGTCTATATTATAAGGTGTACCTTCATTATAAACCTAGCAGACTGATCTTGTTTGTATAGATTCCCTAGACCCCGACCTTTGGGGGATTCATTGAGTCCAGTGCGCAAAGCGTATAACGAATGCCATGCATATACACAAAGTAAGAATCCATCACTCTAGCTACACCGGGATAGTGCATATATATTATCTAATAACCGCATGAATAACTTATGAATTACTTAGTTACGCGAATCATAACATTCACATATTCAATATAACGATTAATTCTATTAAATATATCAAGAATATGTCATGCGTGAAATTCTCAGACTAATGTTCTCGATCCTTGTCGGATGACAAAGAAAACAGAAGTCTTCTTCTCTTTTCTAGTCTTGTAGAAGATCTTGTTCTTTCTAATATTACATACTTAGTCCTGATCTGGTTAAATAGATATTTAATGTAGTTTGTACATAAAAGAGAAAAGAACAACACGCTTTATAGATATAAATTCATAATTAGACATTTAATGTACTATAATGTACTAATTCTCTAAGAAGTAAAGTTATCTTGAACGATATACGGAACTATATTATCTTCTACTCTAACTATACTATCCTATCTTCCTAACTATACTATCTTCGGAACTATATAAAGTCCCCTTCCTTTTCTGATTAGAAGATTTGAATAAAATAAAATCTACAATATTATAATAAATAGAATATGACTTTTTTATTCTTTAAGAAATGTGAAGACTTATCGTTGTATGTAATTGTTAATAACTTAGAAATCTTAAATTAATATCTTACAAATGTTACGCAAATCATAACGTTCACATCTTTGATTTAAATTATTTCCACAATGTAACGATTAATTCTATCAAATATATCAAGAATATATCATACGCGAAATTCTCGGACTAATTTTTTCTATCCTTATCGGATAACAAAGAAAACAGAAGTCTCCTTCTCTTTTCAACTTTTGTGGATGATCTTGTTCTTTCTAATTACATACTTATTCCTGATCTGGTTAAATAGATGTTTAATGTAATTTGTAAATAAAAGAGAAAAGAACAACACGCTTTATAAGATATAAATTCATATTAGACACTGTTATATATATTAGACATAATTAGACATTTAATGTACTGTAATTGTGTGGCAGTATAGAATTGTTTTCTTAGATCCAAGATAATTCCCTAAAAAGAAAAGTTATTTTGAACGATATATAAAACTAACTAAAAAAAAAATCTTAAAATAGTTGAATGAAACTAAATCAAAACTTAAATTTAGTAACTCACTTATTTACCATATAATAGCGGTAACATATATATTTTTGGTGTTACTTAATTATATTTGTTTCGTAAATACTCGTGTATATTCGTGTGCACGGGTTCAGCATTCAGCTAAGTGCAAATATTTCGAATATTATGTTCAATATTCCAATTTTTCAAAAAAGTCCACCCATAAAACAAGTTTTAAAATTAACTAACATTAAATAAAATATCATATAATGTATCATATATTTTATGCGAGCAACTGTTTTACCCCTTACATTTTTATATTAGGTATATCTAGTTGTTAAAAAGAGATCATGTTTTATTAATATACATTTAGGTATACATTGTCATAAAAATATTAAAAAAAATATATTATAGAGCTATCACGATAGTGTACTTTGACTTTTACTAAACGTGAAGATTAAGTTAAAATAAATGCTCTTTACAATGGGAAAGTCCCACGTCTAGCAATGGACTTTTACGAGCTGTTGTGAAAAACTCGTTATCATCATCATTACAGCCTATCAAAATCCATTGTTGAACATGAGTTCTATCCCTGGTAACCCCGTACAAACCGTACACCCGCGAGCCTGGTCGAATCTTACTGCCCAGAACATCAAACGACACAAATTAGTCGTCAGTGCCGAGGCCCGCTACCACTGCTCGGACGGCGGTCAGATAACTCATCATGTGCACTGATTTGCGTATTGAAAGTAAGCTGTAAAAGACAACTGGTTAACAGCACCAACATCACAGAAAATGTACTACACGTTTAAATTGTAAAAAATTGATGACAATTATACAAATACAGAACACACTAAATTTTCCAATGATTATTCCAGAACAAAATATTGTTAATTTGTGCTATTTTGTGAATTATCGTTTTCTAAACCACACAACACCTATGTTTATATCGAGTCATAACTATGAAAATTTCTCAGAAGATGAACATTATATGTATTAGTGTTTTATAAATTATTTTATATATTATTTCATAGTGATGTAAGTCATGTTATACTGTATTTATTGCAAGCTTTATGATACCTTATGAGTTGTGTTGATCATAGTTACAAATCGAGAAAAATAGGAAATAATTTTTAAAATATTTTACATTCTTATTATTGCAATTGAGGTTCTGGCCTCATGAAAACATATTTTTTTTATTATAAGGGTATATTTTGATCATTATATTATTATGAATATTCAAACTATACTGTAAATTAGATGTTTACCAGGACTTTTTGATGTTTATAATAAAAATAAAAATAATAAGTAACAACGAATTGGAACCGCTTGTTTGTCGACAATTGTCAACTTTTACTGTGACTTGTGTATCATATAATTAAACTAGATTAAGTAAGTAATCAATTAAAATACTCACACTACAAAATTAAGACAGAAATTTAGGAAATTTGACACAATGTGAAAACTAGTCAGTAAATGTAAGACGTCAGTAGAGTGACGACGTTAAGCCATGCAGAAAGTCAGTGGATGCAGGTGACTCAAAGCCGTGTTTTGTAAGATTCCTTTGCTTATGTTCAGCGGTGTGGAATATTGTCCAGCTGTAATGGTGAAGTGGCGACCAATAAGCATGTATGTTGAATAATTGAAAGATGGCTTAATTTAACTAGCAAGATTTTATATTCGTAACATAACTTTTGACCTGACTGAGGCCACTATAATATGTAATTGTTTTTTTATAGGTAATTGCTGGTAGGACTGAAATTATTTTGCAATTTATTTAGTTCCTTTTAATTACTTCTGTTTCTTTTCTGTTTATATTTCACAATAATGGTCACTTCAGGAATTTCCTATAACACGTGAAGGATAATATTTTTTAGTACACGAAGTTATTTCTTAATTTTGTAATTAGATTATATTTGATTAGACTATACACTGTGTGATTAGACTATATACTAGATACTACTGTGTGTTACAAGTTACTCGTGGCAAATTTAGAAAATATTGTTGTGATTGCTGTTTTATAGTAGGAAGTAACAATTAAAAAAAATTATGTCGTATGTTTGTTTGATTACCTTTTTATATAATAGCACCCTATAACTTGAAAGCGTAATAAAAACAGACATTAATAAAATGTATATGGTACTCGACAAAATCTTGTGACTAAATTACACTTCACTCTACAACAGATTGGCTAATCTTGATCTTACAAATTTGTATAAGGATATATTAACACTGTAGTGACTTAGTTACCCTATAAGGAAATCAAAAGCACTATTTGTTCTAACATCGATATTAATACATGTTTCTTTATTTTATTTTATTTGGGTTTTTGTGTTTCGGTTATTTATACTTATTTTTAATTATAGCCTTTTTCGTCTATTCCTGAGAAATATTTTCTTTATTTCTAACGTGTAACTTCTTCGTAAAAAAAAACAATCAACTGCATGGATGACTCCAACACCGAAGGTTCCTACAGAAATATATTTAAAAAAAAAACGTAGTAGATATACATAAAGAAGAGCATGCACTAGATACTAAGAGTGGGTTAACAATTATTCTAATTTATAAAAATTTAAAGCTTCTTGCATTACAAACTTCAATGATAAGGAGAGAATAGTAATAACTTTGAGATTTTTGGTCCACAAAGTAACTCGACCAACAACGTAGAAGAAAATATATTTAATATCATAAAAAATATAAAATTATTTTACCATAAATACCTAAGCAAATAAATTCTGCAATCATACCAAACAAATCACCTTTACACCTTTCTAAAAGGCCGGCAACACATCTGCAATTAACCTGGTGTTGCGGTTGTTCATGGGCGGCGGTAGTTACTTACCATCAGGTGAGCCGCATGCAAGTTTGCACCCTCTCCTATAAAAAAAAATCAGTAGTAGCATACTGAAATGTGAAATGTTTGGAAAAAATTATCATGCCTTATAATGATATGTAGTCCAACAGATCAAGAAACTCGTCACAAAATTTGTATTTGAAAATTTTAGGTACGGAACCCTAAACAAATTACACAGGCGGTTGGTGAAACATTGTTCATGAAGACATGAAAAATGTTTGACATTTTGTTTGGTAGTACTTAAAACAAATAGGCAGCACCGCTGGCACTGGACAGCGCCACGAAGTGTTGGCCAAGTAAGAAGAAGCAACTCGTAGGGCCCACACTGAGAGCATCGATTATGTCGTTGCAAAGCAAATACTCATAATGCCAGGGAACAGGGATAATATAAAAGGTAATGATTTTGTGCAAAAAGAACTCTCTTATACGAGTTCTTCGTTTAATATATACTTTTAATAAAAAAAATATTTTAGCCGTGTAACAATTGTAAAGATTTAAAGATTTCTTATTTGAAAAATTACAAATGTTGTACACCTGTCAGTAATCGTTGATACCAAATCAACAGCTAAATATCGTATACTCGTTTCTTTAAAATATAATACAAAAAGATCATTTGAATAGGTGAGGTTGTAATGATATTTCATAGTTCTAACATAACAATACCCAGACCGACGACTGGCAGCAGCTTTAAAGGAGCGAGACCTCTGGAACTGCGGTCGTCAAACCACCTGCCTACCAATTGTAAGATGAGTCCCCCTTACCATGGGGATGGCTCATGTCTAGCCTTGGTCCTGTAAGGGCTGATGGTAAAAATAAGGACAAAACTATAGATTTATTAGTTACCAGCGCTAGATACGAAATCAAATTTGGACACAGATATTTATATGCATATTTCAGACACATCTACCACAATCTTTGATATAAGATTTGTGGTAAAACAAACAAAATGAAAATATTCAATAGTAATGCGGAAAAATGTTGAGGAGGACAGTACAGTAATATAAAACAGTAATCAATAGCAACCGAGAAATAATGGTATAAAGAAAAACTGCATAATCATGTTATAGTCAACTTATGCATATTGTATCATACATATGTTTATACAGTAAAGTGATCCCTCGGTAAAGTGCAAACCTGAAACTAGACCATAAATTATAAACAAAAACCAGAAAAACTAAAAAAAAACTTTTTTATTAACGAATTAAGATTTTTATATCTTATGTATACTCTATGTACAGAAAATAACGATTTCTTTCAAAGTAGTGGGTCGATTACTTTAAAATAAAATAAAATATTATGTACTTGACGGTAAGGATAAAATAACAATTAGCTAGCAAAAAAGTGGCATCAATACTACAGCATCTTTGCTTTTCGTTAAGAGAATTCCATTTTTTATGACTGCTTTATTCAATGATCACTAATTTTCCCAGAATTATGCCCCAAATACCAGGAAACTTTATGATTTATTATTATTTTCTACCACATTGCCTTTTAAATAAAAAAAAATCTACATTGTAAAACCCGCTGGCTAAGAGTTTTAAAATTGACGTCACCAGCTGTCTGTTTTGGTCATACTGTCATCTGCGTTGAGTTATTGTTACGTTATTTTTGTTTTGTTCTGTTATTGACTTATTTGTTACGTTATGTATCAATATTCTTCAAACAAATAAATATTGTAAAACAAACTATGGAGGAGCACCTACGAAACAATATTAAAGAACCTACAAATAAGTCAAAAGAAAATATTAAAACTTTTATTTCATTATAACTACCTTAACACCTACAGACAAACTGAACAAAGAAAATAAAATTATGAATATCAAAAATGTATCAAACATATTGCTATAATACCTTTTTCTAATGAAGAAATTTAAGGTAGTAAAATACACACAATTAAAATTTGTAACAAGGTAACGGAAAAAAGTACTACGTAATGTTAATAATATTTACATACCTAAGGTAAACTACATATAGTAACCAGACTATACGTTTGAATGGGATTACGATATAAATTGCCCCAATAAATTAAAATAATGAAAAGGTTTTGATCTCTTCGAAAATATGCTAAAATAATACATAATAAACAAATTGTAAATCCGACCCAATTCATATGCCGATCGCTAATGGGCGATAATCGGTAAATATACAACATTCTAAAAATTGGTAACTCGTACATAAATATACAAAAAAATATAAGAAGTACTAAGTTGCATGCATAAACTAGTAAGAAATTGTACGTCCCGAAACTCTTGCCTCCATTTTTTTAATGTATTCTGTATCTTCATAACCGATTATTGACTTGTGTATTGTATAACTTCTCATTAAGTGAAATGTATATTTCTATTGATAATAAATCTTTTTATAGTCAGTTCGCTTAGATACTGTCGCCTATGTGTCGTGCCGCCATGGCACATGCCGCATCTTTTCAAAAGCGCCGCCGCGACATCAAAGGTCGCCGCGTGCAGCGTACACCCGCAGGAGAATTTGGTATTTTAAAACGAAGCGCCGTACTGAATGGTTCTTTGCTACCTAACTTGTCCATATTATTTATATTCTTATTGTATTACAACAACTATTAGAATATAAAAACATTTAATTAACAAACACAGTAATAAATAATAAGAGCGCCTTCGGATGTACCAACACTATCTTAATGAACAGACTATAATCATAACCATAAAATCGTTTGCAATAAAATTGTTATTAGAAAAACCAGTACAAATTTCTAAGGTTTGTATGTCTTGCGTGAGTGTAAGCTCGATTAAGTTCGTCAGAGTGAATGAGAGTGAATATTTCTATAGAATGTGTGTGTAATGGGTGTGTGTATTCCAATGTGAATGTTGCGCATGCGCACAAAAGGAAAAGAGGTATTAATTTGGTTTTATGGGTATATAAGTAGAATGTAACTTCTGCTCTAAACACCTACTTCAACAGATACCCCTTCCTACTCGATCAATAAACGGAGCTTTGGTGAGAATTTTTTTAATAATATGAGGGTAACAAACCAGCACACAGTCCACCTGATGGTAATAGGTTGCTGCGGCCTATAGAGATCTATATCTATCCTCGATTACGAATCAAAAAGCAGATGCGTTGTCACCTGTGAGGACTAAGAAAGAATGCCTCGTTTCTAGTAAAAAGGATCTCCGGTTCTCTACACACACCATACGAAACACAGCAGTGTTGAGCTGCTATTTTACGCTGGTTTTCTGTGAGCGTGGTCCTTCCCCGGTCGAGCCGACCCATTCGTGCTACAACCATACTACTAATATAGCTGCAGCAAGGCCCTACCACACATAAAATAACAATTGGTTGCTATGGGTAGGTTATACTTCTAGCTGTGGATTACCCAAGGTTGTTAGAGAGGAGGAGAGTAATTTAACGCATCCGCCTTCTCATACGCAGATCAGAAGACGTTTATAAGTTTTATACAGTATAGTATGTCCCCTAAAAGGTCATTGATTATTATGTGATATAGATTATATAAAACACCTAATATTCTATATAGCTATTTCGTAATTTTACTAATATTAAAAAATAAATATTTTGAAGTATATGTAATTTTCTAACGTGAACTCTTACTTCACAGGAGCAGAGTTACTTCAGTGAACCAGAAATTGATGCTGAATATCACCATCATCACGTTCACAAATCAAAGGTAAGAGGCATTTATTATCAGTTTTTAAAATAGTAAACTGGTTTTGATGTGTTTGACGTGTTAACAAAATAAAAAAAACATGTGTGCAGTTCACACCCGGTAGAAGTGAAACCTTCTAGAGAACTTCGAGAGAATGAGACGAATGTAGAGTATCAGGAGTAGAATACTTATAAAATATAAATAAATTTATAATAAAAACTGTTTACTGTATTTTATCTCATTCTCTCACAGGAAAAATAATATATGTTCGTCTCTTTTTAGTGTCGCTTTTTCGTTTCATCGAGTTTTGAAATCACAACGATTCGAAAGAAGTTTTCACTTCAAATACATTACTATTTAACAACTTTGACAGGATGTTTAATGTTATATTCATTGTGTTGACAAAGTAAAAATGTTGACGACTACCTTAGATCGTAATTAAAATTTAAGTAACATTTATGCCAAAAATTACAGTTGAAATTTGGAAAGTTATTTGTGCTTAAATAAAAAAATAATCAAGATAATAAAACACGATATTTTATTAATTAGTACTCAAGATTTATTAAAAATGGTAACAAGATGAATTAAAAAACTTATAACTAGTGATTATACAATCGAATTAAAAATAATCACGTAAAGAGCGATCTTAAGACTATAATAAATAAAAAATATGTTGCAGCTGTAAGCTGTGAAATGTTGTATGAATATGACTACTATAACTGCGAAATAGTGAGAGGTCATTTTATAAAATGTTTAACAACTAATTGTCGTACATTACAGCGCGGTAAATTACAAATAATCTTCATTTTATCACATCTAGCGGCGTCTTCCTTCGTAAACTTTAAAATTATACTTACAAGCAATTTCTAAATATAAATTCAAATGTTGGTAGGTAAATATCAAAGATTGTGACAGTATACCCTAAGCTGAATGGATACTTTTGAACTTGTATTTTTTTTTCAAGAGATGGCATTTCTGCATTGAAGACCAACTAAGCGATACTGATTTGTACATTAAATAATAATCATAAGTTGTTTATATAATATACTGGTGGTTTTATTCGCAGTCTTCAATTTAGATATCAAACAGATGTCGTGTTTTAGAAAGCGCGACAAATTGGTAAGCCCTTGTAATAGTGTGCACCGCTGTACAGTTTCTTTGGCGTAGATCTCCATGAGAGTACCAGGGCTTTCTTGAAGGGTTCCTGCGCACAACCGCTGCAGACTTGCATTACTGCCTTTACTTCAGCTTCAGCTGGTTCTCGCTCATCACTCTGCAAAAAAATAAATTCAAATTTGACGTAGGCTTAATATTTAAAATTGGTATTTAGGAAATTGGAAAAGTTATAACACTCCTACACATTAAAAAGTTTACTTATTAACTGCATTAAGAGTATTCATAACGTTTAATACTTAATCAAATAACTTCAACGTTTGTTTGTTTAACAGCACTGAAATTACTAATATATTAATTAATGACTTACATTTTGCTTCTGTAAATTCTGGACGGGTATATTTCCAACAACTCCAGCAAGTCCCTGTAACAGTGAACGCTCGAACATGATATCTTCGTTGTCATCTGCTATGCTTGGACTAAGCAGAGCTTCATCTACTATTGAGCCATCTGATAAAGCTACAAGACCACGTTTATCTTTTTTACCTAAAATGAATAAACATGTTAATTATTATATTTTTTATATAACACATACATAAAATTGCTGACAATATCTTCTTCATAAACTTTGTAATAATTCGCTGGCAGTCTTTAGCCACTGCTATGGAAAATTATGAAAGACTTGCGTTAATAATCACGATAGTTAGGCAAATTGAACACGATGTTTTAAGTTACTTGTCACTCTTGACTCTGACTTTGTCTAAAGTTTTTTATTCATCTAACAGCTGAAAGGCATTAAGGCACACACAGCCCATTATCGCCTCAGTTGTGCCATACGGTTCCACTGTAGAAAATGCTGTAAAAATCTCATAGTCGTCAGTAGATGACGAATGTTTTTTTTTTTTAATTTAATAGAATTTGGGTGAAAACCGAGTACACAGTCCATCTGGTGGGTTTTTTATAGGATAGGATGACAAGCGAGCACACAGTCCACCTGATGGTAAGTGGTTGTTGTGGCCCTTAGACATCTACATTTATCCTCGTTTGCGAATCAAAATGCAGATGCGTTGTCACCCGTGAGGACTAAGATGGAATGCCTCTTTTCCAGTAAAAAGGGTCTCCGGTTCTCTACACTCACCATACGAAACACAACAGTATTAAGCTGCTATTTTACGCTGGTATTCTGTGATAGTATGGTCTTTCTCTGGTCGATAATAATAAGATAATATATTAAATTTATGATGGTAATATTAAACCTTCCTACGAGGATGCTACAATCATAGGTTTCTAATATTTTACAATTCAACTATCTATTTAATAGTAGGTCGGTCCGTAATATGCGATTTAAGAATTCACAGATAAAAAATCATTTTTGTTAATTATTTTTACTAATAACGAACAAAATTTAATATTGATTTTTTTAACTATGAATTCTTACTTAGTCGTAATATAACCAGACAATAATGTCATCTAGGAATTTGAATGTGAATCTATGTTGATAAATACCTTGCAAAAAGAATTTTATGTCTACCAAAGAATCTGAACAGTTAATTTGTTCAAGCTATACGTAAACTTACCCGAACTCTTTTCTTCAATTAGTTCTTTTTCAGGATTATCTCTTTTGTCACGTTTAACTGATTCTCTCTTGTAAAGTCTATGTCCAGATGTTTCATCTATATATTGCACATTGGCTGGGTTTAGCAAAGATCCAGACAAAAGTACAGAAGAGCCCTTTGAAGGTCCGATAGATTGTCGTGGTGAATTATTTTGGTCCTGAGAAGTTGGTGTTATGGAAAGACCAACTAATGGTATATGAGAGGACGAACTTGCCATATTTGAAACTGACTGTATGCCATTCATAAGCTGTTCGGAAATAATTCGATTACCAAGTTGTCCATTAACATATTGCTGGGGAATTTTAACTCCATTCGGAAGTTGGGCAGATATCATTTGTTGCTGAGCTCCGGCTAGATTTAGATTTGGTGCTCTTTGCAGTTGACCACCAATCAAGTAGTTTCCATTACCAAGAGGAGTCGCTTGAGGCGGTGGAGGTTCAGTAACAGCTTCCGTTGATGGTTCGAGAGGAGTACCATCGTGTTTAAAGTGATGAACATGATGGTGTTTGTGGTCTCTATGTGCTTTTCCAGCCGTTAACGCTACGTGGTATAATTGTAGCATTGTGATCTCGCCCATTAAACCAGATTGCTCTATAACAGAATGTAAATTATCCTTATCAATTATGGCAAATTTGATGATATATAATATAATAATGTCATTACAACTAGAGATCTTGGATTAATAACGCAAATATGTTAAGAATTTATTTCCTTTGTTTTTGGCGTGTTGAAGTTGTATAATACTTTAAAAAATTAATACTTTTCAAAGAGAATCTAATATGCTTACTTGTAACTGGATCTAGGCTGTCTTTGTTGTATAACATGGATTGCTCCTGACCAGATATAGCTACGCCACCTCCTTTAATGACATGTCCCACAAGCTGTAATAAATATATGTATATTAATTAAAACTAATATCATCGCCAGCGTCACAGGCCTACCCCATAGATTGTCTTATAGGGGGGATATTTGCCATAGTTGCCACGCTTGGCAAGCGGGTTGGTAATCTCAGTTTTTATTTTTATTTTCGGACGTTTTTAGGAAGACGCTGCTGCCCATCTCCTGATTTCTTTCTCTCTGTCACTTCTTCCGACACCTATGGAATGTTATGTGGCAGTGGATGTCCTTACACCGCCCCTAAATATACATAAGTTATGATTGAATAAATAACTATTATAAAATCAATCGCTGTCGTTGAAAATGTTATGGATAATACTTTATTTGGGATTTTTAATGTGTGATAAAATTCGTTACCAAGATTTACGCAAGTAAAGGAGACATTAAAACTGAAATTTCCTGACGGATCAATAGTTTGAAGTGGATTAGGCCGACAATATAGGTCGAAGAACTCACAAACGATGGAAAGGAAAGGCTCACAACACACCTTTGTACTGACAAACGTAGCGTTCGCAAACCTCAAAAGATATAGTAGCAAACTAATAAAAGATGTAGTGAGTTGGTGCAGATTACCCAAGGCTGTGTTTTGTTATAATCTACTTTGTTCAACAGTGGACTTTTACGACCTGTAACAAATGAAACAAAAAGGAATCATCGTTACATGTATACCTATAATTTCTTATTACCATATTATTGTTAAATAAATTTATCTTATATTATATAAGAAAAACAGTTTTTATTAATTTATATATTTAAAAATGTTTTGTTTTAATGATTGTAAAACGTTATTAAGTTAGTAAATAATCGAATAATTAAATACTTTAGATATTTTACGTATGAACATTTTTAACTAATTCGTGTGAATTTCCTAACATGCCAATTAGCATAGTTGCAAGGTATACGCGATAAAAGGAAATGATAATATAAATTAGATCGGATTTGAGCAATTATCGAAGGCTTCGCAATAAATATTTCGTTATACATATATATAAACGTTCGTAGAAATTTTCGTAAAATGTAAGAACCAAACAAGAAATAACATGCGGTTTAAGTAATATAGTTATATAAAGTATAAAATATACTGTACAGAAATTAAGAAGTAAATTGTATAGTTCTGAATACATCAAAGCGCTTTTAATTAACTACCTCTCATTTTAAAAAAAAAATAACAAAAAATAAAGGTCTCCTCTCATTTTCTGAGACTGTTTTATGGCCGGCAACGAATAAAAAAACAGAATCTTCAATCAATGTATGATTCTATGGCGGCATTATCTACCCTTTTATGAAAGACATTGATTACCTAGACTCTCTAGCAGCAATTTCATAGGTGAAAGACTTCTTTTAAAAGGTTTCTTTTGCAAACTGCCATTAGCCTGTTCAGCTTTATTAATGAGAATATTTAATCAATGTATTCAATGCATGATAATGGACGCATGGATTATTTGACGGAAATTACATGTAGCTTTAATAGAAATTCAGTATTTAATTAATGCATACATTTTGAAGCCTTTTGAACTATATTGAATTTGCTATTCACTTTGAGGGCTTATAAAATAATTGTATCATCATTTAAATTATACTAAAACTGCGATAGAAATTCTTGGAAATTAATGAAATAGTTTTGCGGTGAAATATTTTCGACAATCGCTTTAATAATTCCACATATAACATTTCAATAATTTGCATGCAATATGATTTAACATACAATCCAGTACGGAGAGTTATACATGCCAATAAAAGACATGGGTTTCAACCGTTATGCGGAGAATTTACAACTCGCCACAACTGGCAAGCGTATCGCAGTACCAGATGGTTCACACCTTTGACGGTACTGCCCGTTCCCGGTTAGATTATTTTACTTCTGGCGTAAACAAACTCTATGTTAGGGAATTCTATGTTCAACAGTAAACTAAACTGAGTATATATATATATATATATATATATATATATATATATATATACTGTCACTTGCTTATTCCAGCCCTAAGTGTTATACTAACACTCAAATCTTATTTCTGAACAATGATGTATGCAAACTCCCTTCTAAAATTTATTTTTATGGCGCAATTGTACACTCTTGTAAATAAAGTAGTTTTATGACTTCTGTCTATGAGGGTAAGGTTCACAGTGTACAAATTTATTATTTATTATAAAATGTTTCATGATTCATTTTAAATGGTGGCATCATTTAGGTAGAGATTGTAAAGATTTAAAATGTAAATTGTTTTTAATTCTTATTTGTTTTATTTCTAACAAATTACTTACGCGGTTGTGAAAACCTCTTCCAACTCTCTCTGCGTTGACCCACACTTGCCATTCACCGGTCTTCCCGTTCCATGACTGGCACGAATGATACCATCTATAATAATATAACATTTATTTTAATTTTGTATATAAGTCTAGTTCAATTAAATAGATATTTGTTCTGTTTACAATACTTTTTATAACGTTATGCCCAAAAAGTCTCCTATATCGTGGGGGTTTTATAAACATAATACACAATGACAAATTACACATGGACCAACATTCAGACCAGGAACAATTATTTACGAAAAATCTCATAGAAATACTTTTTTTGTGCGGAATTCGAACCGTAGCCACGCCGCAGCTAAATACTTAGCCATTCCTTTATTCTAGCCGTCAGTATGGAAGGCTTAAATTAATATAAATTAATATCAGGTTAAAATTAAATTTGTGGAAAATCACAAATTATTGAATTTCGAGTCGAGTAATGTTGTAAATGTCCCCGTTTGGGAGACTCTACCTCAATACAAGTCAAATATTATCGTAGAATCTACGATGTTATCTACATCGTAGATACTACATGTTAGAAAATTCTTAATTGCACAACAAATATTTTTGATCAAAGCGAAATGATTTTCAATAGTCATAAATTTTTCTTATAAATTATAAATACAACACGATAACAACTCTGATTTCGTAATTCAGTCGTTCTATTGTGAAGATTCAATCGATTTATTCCGATAAAATTGAATTTTTAACGGAAAACATTTTTCAATATTTGCATTTGAATCAAATAAACTAGCTTTTACCCTTCATTGTTCTTCTATACTCATCATCGTCATCATCATTATTATCATTACATCCTTTCATAAGTCCCCTGCTGAACATAGGCCTCCCCCAAGGAATGCCACGAAACACGGTGCTTATCCAGCTGCATCCATCGACTTCCTGCATGTCTTACCAGGTCGTCACTCCATCTAGTGGGGGGTCGCCCTACACTTCGCCTACCGGTACGAGGCTGCCACTTGAGAACCTTTCTTCCCCATCGGTTGTCGGTTATTCTAGCTATATGGCCGGCCCACTGCCACTTCAGCTTACTAATCCGTTGGGCTATGTTGGTTACTCTGGTTCTACTGTGGATATTCTCATTTCTTAGCTTACCACGCAGAGAAACCCCGAGCATAGCCCTCTCTATAGCTCGCTGAGTGACCTTGAGCTTCCTCATATACTCAATAACCTTCAATTTGTTTTAGGCGGAACTAAGGTTATAGAGGGCGTTATGTTCGTAAATTTAGTTTTGTTATTATTAAACGGTTTCAATAATTGACAATGTGATCGCAAATGAATTATTACATATTCTATATATAATATATATAGCTCGCCAGGCAGACGTTGTTCTGCCCTTTCCAACGACCCTTCCTATAAACATCCTTAATTTCGCAATAAAAAATTTGATGATCATTTATCGGGTTAAAAATCTCTCAAGTTGGACCAAAATGCACACAGTATGCAAAATTTCATTGAAATCAGTTTAGTAGTTTAGGAGTCCATCGCGGACAAACAACGTGACACGTAATTTTTATAAATAAAGATATATATATATATATATATATATATATATATATATATATATATATTTATATATATATATCGATAACTGTTAATTATGAGTTATGATAATCTCCTGTTTCCTAGCTGAAAATATTGTTATTTCACGAGATTTTAATAGCAGGGTGAAGAGGTCTGGTTATGAAAGGATATTGGGAAAGTTTGATATTAAAAGTATAAATGAGAATGGTGAGAGCTTTCTCACTGTATAGATAATAGAAGCATTATAGATTTTATAATTGTGGATGGAAGAATGAGGGCATAGATACAAGGGTTTATCGGAGATCCAACATAGGGACGGATCATTACTTGGTCTCACGCCGAAGTAATGATCTATTCAGACGTTGGCGGCATCGGACATCGATGTCTTCTAATCAATAGGAAGGTTACAAGATGAGTGTGCATTTTAATCTTTTTGATAGTAAATGCATTTATTGACAAAAATGACGAGCAAAGTAAATAAAAAAATAAAGAAATGTATAAACTTATATAATAATTTTACACGGCTTAAGTATTAAGTACCTACACACTACACAGTATTGTATCTATATAATGCAACTTCGATGTGAGATTGTTCTCTTAATATTCATAAGTTTAGGCATTGCGTTTAGGTATTTCCAAGCGTTTAGGTAATAGCCTAATAACGTAATTTCCAAGTAATAGCTTTGGGAATCGGTGCTCAGACATAGTGTATCGGAGAGTTAAAACTTCGATTTCATAACATGTGGAAATTATAATATTCCTGTTAGTTACTGCAGACGATTTTTACTTTTTTAAGTTATTTGTTTAACCTTTTGAGCGGCCTAAGTTATTACAAGTTAATAACTAGATTTTTCTAAATAGTTGCATTAAAATCTTCAGCTCCTTTTTATCTACCCTCAGGCAACCCACTGACTGAACTACCCAGGAAGGAAAAGCTATTCAATAAAAGAAAAATCATGAAAATCCGTTCATAAACAAATATGTATATATGTTATATTATAATATTATATAACAATATTGGAATAATGCTTCACATATTTTTGAAATGAATATATAAATGGAGTATATGTATACATTACATTTTTGAAGTCACTTAAAAAACTACACACAAAATTAACAATAGCCCCATGAGATACATTTGTTTAGGACGTGTCGAAATTGGCAACAGCGATTTCCCTAAGCTTATGTTTTATGCAAGCGATGCATGGACCTGGAATGTAACATTGTCACCTCTGTGAGTCGCGCTCTAGATGCGTTACGATTTCAAGTTACAATTGAGCAATAGCATAGACGGACCGAGTTACCCACAAGTCCATATACAACTAGAAAGTACGACTTATTTACTATGATTTCGGTAACTGGGTTATATTTAGACGTTTAGTACTAAAGTTATATTATTATTATTCAACCTAGATGTGCAATACTATTAGCGTAACTATGATGTTATGTTTATATTACATTTCTGCGACTTGATATAGCTAGGCTTATGGAGGAATAATTTTAGTATTGCAACACATACTTTTATTGCAATAAAACTGCGCTAAGGAGACTTTTTTATTTTCGGGTCTTGGATTTAAATCAAAACTAATGATATGATTTTTTTATTTCTCATAGTAATGGCACATTTAGAGGTTATCAATATTCTTGCATATCTGACCTATCTCACTCCTATATATTTAGCGTATACAAGGTTTTTTTTTCCAAAGAGTAGCCAATTTTTAAACTTTATTTCTTATATATAATTAATTATATACTGTTATTGCAGTTTTTGAAAATATAAGTAAATAAAGCTTCTAATTTTACTTAAAATTATCGCAAATTAAATGTGATTTATGGGCAACAGAATTTTTGCCTACCGATCGACCCTTACGAATGTGTACGTGCGTAGTAAAATCATTTAAAATAATACATTACCATGCATTTTGAATTTAAAAGATAAAAAGGACAGAATGTTTGAGATTTTTTTTATTATTATTTCTTTATCATTTGTCTATATTACTGACTCTGAACCTTCTCCGCAAATTTGGCCGGTTATTGCAAAAGAACGCTGTAGAGAGCGCGCTGCTGTTTTATGGTCATTTACAGTAGATTACTTTAAACTGCGCAATCAACCATTTTTGTCTGTATATCCGATACATTTCTAAATCGCCCCGGATGTGAACATAAAAGTTCTCACATTTTGATTTGAAATTACTGTAGAAATTAATTAGAAATTCCGTTTTACTTATTTCATAAACCCGTATGTACTTGGTAGAGCCATGCTGCAGCTATATTGTAGTTGTAGCACAAGCTGGGCTTTTATTATCACTTTTTTTTTGTAAGGGCATGAATGATGAGCTCTCCGAATGAACCTACCGAATCTCTTCCGAGAACAACAAGAAGCAATCGCCCTATGTTCCAGAAATACAACGAAATTAACCTTTACGTACCTTGAACGCTTGAACGTTCGCTGTGGTTTCTTTTCTTTTAAATTTTGTTTAATTTTAGATTTTCTCCTATATCTTGGAGGCACTTTTCATATATAAATTTTACAAGAACACACACACGAACAATTGTTTGTAGGTCATAAAAATACTTGTTCCGTGTAGGATTCGGACCCATGGCCCTCAGTGCCGCAACTCATTGCTACAACGGCGCCACGGAGCCGTCTTTTGAACATATGTATCGCTATTATATATGTATAACAGCAACGTAATAGTTACTCGATACTCGATAAACGATCTTGTCGTAGATAACAATTTGAATTTCATTACAAAAATAAACTGTCATTTTCCGAACGTTCGAATTTTCAATTTTAAAAGTGATCGAAATACGAGTACGATATTTTAACTTTTGAAGGTCAGCCTAAACCTTATCAACAAAACGTTACGTTTCTCAAGATTTTAAAGTTTGAAAATAAATACACAAACAACTTATGCTTTCATCCGATTAACTTTACTTTCATTATTCAATAAAAAGTTGATTGTTGCGGCCCTATCATCTCGTCATAATAATATAGCGTAATCAAACCATTCCCACAAGATCCGTACTACCTCAGGAGCATTGCCCGGCGGGAGATCTCTGTTCCTACTATGTTACATTCTCAAGTTCCGACGTGTTAATATAAATTTATTTTCATAAATGTATGTATTCATATGAAATGTACATATTTATTATCATAAAACCTTAAATTGATGTGTGTGACTTTATGACTTATTTATGATATTTATGAATATTGAAAGTATCAATCAATCTCTAAGTATGGTAGGTGTTTTGCTTCCAATCTGAAAAGAGGTTTTTTTTATAGGATCGGGTGACTAACGAGCACACAGTCCACCTGATAGTAAGTGGTTACTGTAACCCATAAACATCTACCTACATCTATCCTCAATAAAGACTCAACATGCAGATGCGTTGTCACCCGTGAGGACTAAGATGGAATGCATCTTTGCCAGTAAAAAGGGTCTCCGGTTCTCTACACTCACTATATAAAACACAGTAGCGTTAAGCTGCTATTTCACGCGGGTTTTCTATGAGAGCGTGGTC